GGATTACCAATAGACCCCTGGCTGTCTTCAAGCAGGCACTGGACAAGCACCTAAAGTCGGTACCTGACCAGTCGGGCTGTGGTTTGTACGTTGGATTGTGTGCAGCCAGCAGTAACAGCCTGGTTGATCAAGCTCTGATCCACCATGAGGCCTGGCCACAGACCAGGTCGCGTGGGCATTGACCCCCAGAACTCTCTCCAGGTAAACTGCAGGTAATACCTTATCACCTAGTTGAAGCTGTCTCCCTTGAAGTACTTTCCTTGAGAAACTACACTGATTCCAGCACCTTTTCCACTACTTGAAACATTTCTGGAACTTCTCTTTCCCAGCAGCATCTAGCACAGCCTGCGATTCTCCGTGAATCTCCTTTTTTTTTTTTTTTTTTTTTAAATCATCATTTTTATTTTGGGGATAAGAAAGAAATCACAGAGGCTAGATCTGGGGAGTAGGGAGGGTGGTGGTGGCCAGAAAACAATGGTCTTTCTGGTTTTGAATCAGCAAGAGAGGCACAAGTTTCACAGCCACTTGCCTCATGTTCATATTTTCAGTCAAAGTGGTTTGACATGACCCATAAGAAATTCCCACATTACTTGCAGTGTCCTGGATACTCTGATGACAATCTTTGTGAATAACCTTCCTCACTTTTTCAGTGACATTTGTCATGCTTTGAATCAAGAAAACCATTCAAAACACTGTGTCTGGTCCATTGCTTACTGAAGCATATTGTGAATTTTACTAGCTATTATACCAAGCTAGAAACAGAATTTCTCTCACACACACACACACACACACACACATGCATACACGATGTTCTTTCAAAGATTTCATTCTGTTACACACAAAAAATGGCAACAGTGCACTGACATGACAAAAAAAAATTGCCTGTGTAATCTCATTGGAACAACCAACCACACTGAAACTTGCTATGCTATTTCACAAAGGAGTGGACTGCATACGCTCTATTCCACTAACATATTTTACCTAGAAAGCTTGCAAAAATTCGAGTCTGGGAACTTTCTGGTAGTACCTCGTACAAAATTAATAGGGCACAAAGACACTGCAGTCTAGTATTTACAATTACTATGAAAGTGGTGTATGATTTATACTTTTTATTTTTTATTAACACATTGGCCGCTTCCCACCAAGGCAGGGTGGCCCGAAAAAGAAAAACTTACATCATCATTCACTCCATCACTGTCTTG